GAATCAGGGAATCACAGAATCACAGAATGGTTGAGGCTGGAAGGGACCACCAGAGGTCATCTAGCCCAACCTCCCTGTTCAGACAAGGTCACCTTGAGCACATTGCTCAGGACTATGTCCAGGCAGCTTTTGAATATTCCCAGGGAAGGCAGCTCCACAGCCTCCCTGGGCTCTATTACAATGCTCAGTCACCCTTACAGTAATGAAGTTCTTCCTCATGCTCAGGTGGAACAACCTCTATTTTAGTTTATGCCCACTGCATCTCATCCTGTCACCTGGTGCCACTGAGAAGAGTCTGGCTCCATCCTCTTGGTACCCTCCCTTCAGATACTTACCAACATTGATCAGATCTCCCCTGAGCTGAACAGGTGCAGCTCCCTGAATCATTCTAGTAGCCCTTTGCTGGACTTGCTCCAGGAGCTCCATGTCTGTCTTTTACTGGGGAGTCCAGACCTGGACACAGTACTCCAGGTGTGGCCTCCCCAGGGCTGAGAGGCAGGATCACCTCCCCAGATATGCTGGCAATGCTCTTCCTAATGCAGCCCAGGATACCACTGGCTTTTTTGGCCACTGGTACACATGCTGGCTCAAAGACAGTTGTCCACCAGGACCCCCAGCTTTCTCTCCGCAAAGCTGCTTCCCAGCAAGTCAACCCCTAATGTGCACTGGTGCATGGGGTTATTCCTGCCCAGGTGCAAGACCCTGCACTTGCCCCCTCGGGGGGCATCAGTGGTTAAAGGTCTCCAACTAGATTCTGTGCCACTGATCACAGCCCTCTGAGATCTGCCATTCAGCCAGTTCTCCACCTCACCATCCCCTTGTCCAGCCAGTGCTTTCTGGGCTTTCCTGTGAGGATGTCATGGGAAACAATGTCAAAACCTTTGCTGAAGTCCAGGTAGGCAACATCCACTGCTCTACCCTGATCTATCCAGCCAGTTGAGCCATCTTGGAAGGCAAACAGGTTGGTTAAGCATGATTTCCCCCTGACGAATCTATACTGAGTACTCCTGGTCATCTTCTTGTCTTCCATGTGCTTAGAGATGGCTTCTAGGATGAGCCATTCCACAACCTTTTCAGGGATTAAAGTGAGACTGACTGGCCTGCACATGTAGCCCTTTAAGCTTGTACTTAATCTTTTCCCAAAAGATAATGTGCTGTAATATTACCTACTGCTTCTCTGTCATGAAGATGCATTTCACTATGCTTGGTTGTAACCAGAATTGACATTTCTTTTTTTACTTGAAGGGGTTTAGAGCATGATAATAGTGTCTTTGGTCATTATAATGGTATGTTCACCATTTTAAGCACTGTAATATTCACTTTGAAATTTGTGTGCTGATGAGAGTTGAAGTAACAGTGGATAGCTTTGCCTAGGAAACACTGGTTTTATTCTCTTCTTTAGTAAATGACAGTGTTATAAGTGGCAGCAATACAAAATGTCGTTATATCCTATTAAATTAAAAAGCAGTATTTTCAGAAAAAATATTTTGTTAGTTAACAAGTATTACAAGGCATTTCCTAGGAGCAGATCCAGGTAGCGTGGTAATACTGAAGCAGTGTGCATCCAAACATATGCCAGAGAGAAGAGTTTAATTTTTCCTTTCCTTTAGGGTTCATTCAAACAAAGTAGGATATTTTTGTTCAAAACACAAAACTATGTTTTGAGCAATTTTTTCAGATAGTATTTCATTCCATCAAACAAAATAAAAAAAACCTCCATAGTATCTTTTTCAGTCTTCTGTCATAATAGTCCAAAACTCTTTTGGAGGTTTACGTTTTTTACAGTACTTTAAACCAGCAGTGGAAAATAAAGGACTGTTTAGTTAGCACTCAGCAAATGCTCTTTACTGACAAGGAATACGGCAGAATCGTAGTATGTGGAGAACAAATCTCACATTGATCACTGAAAGTAATGGGTCATTGAACTCTGCATTAATCTGCTCCTCTGGTGTCTATACATTATAAAATTCAAGCATGTTGCTGATTGTCTGCCTATTATGCAACTAGAATGTAAAAGATTTACAGGGTAAATTACTATTGAAATACACCAGGTCACTGAGACTAAACAACTGCTGTATTTAGCTTACTGCAAACATTAGTTTTCCCTTTTCATGTCCTCAGTCTTCCTGAGGCTAAAGTTTTTTACAAGGACAATGGTTTGTGTTTTGGATTAATCAGACACCTTGGTCATTTGAAAGGTCATATATGCAAGGAACAGCAAATTCTCTTTTTTAAATGACCTGTGGAGAATTATGGGAATCAAAATCTGCAGAAGCCATTAATGGAAATGTATGTCTACAAGGAAACATGACAGTGATAATCCTATTAAATTCTTTGAATCTAAGCTCCTACTTATGTGGGGTTGGGTGGGGATACATTTGGCTGGTTTTCATAGTCAGTTGCATTTTTGCAATATGAAAAATGCAAGCCTTTGGAATTGTAATCAAGGACAATCTGATCTCTTGTTGCTTAAAAAAGTCTTCATAACTAGAAGATGAGACATAAGGAAACCAGATCAAAAAAAATCTAAGAATAAAGTAAGTTGCTTTGGGAATAATAAGCATTTGAATGCACATAGTTCAGAGAATGAAAAGTCATGTCTGACTGCAGTAAAATGAAAGGGATTACATTCATGAACAAAGAAACTCATGTAAGGCTCTGGAGCAAGAGTCTGAAAAACAAGGCTGAGTGAATTCTCTTTATACTGGTGTGATTCTTCAGGTTGTATGTCTTCATCAATTTCTTATATTTCACCTTTGCAGAGTACTCACGTAGTTCCTTCTGTAAAGCTTAATATTTTTACTGTGTATTCTGCTTTTGAAATTTTCAATTTCCTCTTGACATAAGAGGAATGAATTGATCCTCAACTCATAACTGTTCAAAGCTAAGCTCTTTTAGAGACCCTAATGGACTAACATCCTCTGACGTTTGAGCTACTCCTATTTGCAAAGTTGCTATGGTGACAAATGAGGTTCTGGTTTAAAAAAAAAAATAGTAATAATTCTTTTTTTGCTTAACTGCAAATTCCAGAAGAACTCAGCATGGTTCCAGAACATTTCTGCCAAAATGAATGCAGGGTGCCCTTTCTTTCTGAGCACTTGTATCTTTAGTGAAATTTAAGTCTACAGGGTGCTTTGGTTACACTATCTTATGATGGCTTACTCAAATTACTATCAACCATATTTAAAATAGCACAGTGTTCATTTCTTAAAGGACAGATCAGGGATTGCTCAAGGTAACAATGTGTAGCACTAAATGCCTGGGGCTTGCTTCAGTTACCTTTTCCTTGTTCTGATGAAGTAAAACAACCCTGAAGACAGTATGATCCTTTACCTTAAATTCCTCTGTCTGGCACTGCAAACCCATCACACATGGCTTAAAGGTGCTTAGACTCATGCCCTGTGGCTCTGGCACGGTGAGCAATGGCACTGGACCCAGGGTTACAAATATAGCTGTAGCAGTTTTTACCCATGTTCATCCCTCTGGTCTGACAGTAAGCAAAGCCAGCTGAGGCAATTTGATCCATTTTCTGTCTCTCAACATCATTAAATTTTTTGTGCATGAAGCATTTTGTAAACAGGGATCTGAATATGTAGTGATAATGGCTGTTACAAGAATGGATCACTAGTGAACTTAGCACCCACACAGACCAGCTTCCAAAGCAGGTGACAGATTTTTGAAGCTGTTTCATATTTTCTCACCTAGGGCCCTGATACACAATAGGATTCCCTTCCAGGGTGATCTCTCCTAAATGTGTAGCAGGTTGGTTTCTATTTCAGTGCAGTTTTTTTAAGTACCCTGTATTGTTCAAAAAGGGGAGAAGTGAGAGATGCTTTAGATAATTTTCTCTCTCAGTTGATCATATGGGGACAGAAGAGATACTAATATTTTACCGTTATTGAGCAGTTGACTGAGCAGCTGACTCAGAGCTTAAAGCCAGACATAGTCACAAGTTCAAGGCAAAGAGTAAATGCTTAGAGTAAGCTTGCTTCACCATGAGTTACCTTCTAGAGCAGGTACTGCTCTCTGTTAGAAGGTGGTAGCCAGCGGCTTCACTCCTGGCTGAGCTTGGAGCCAGGACATGGAGGTTTCCTTTCTGCAGAGCAGGTCTGAGTATCAGCAGAGTGGTGGCAGTCAGCAACTGAGGAGTGCCTTGAGTGTGTTCCCAAGTTGCCCATTAACTGCATTTCATTCAGACTGAAGAAGAGCAGTATTTTACTCTGCACATGGCAGGGGGTTTTAACTGGATGATCTTTAAGGTCCCTTCCAACCCAAACCATTCTATGATTCTAACAGAGCTTTGTACGGTAAGCTGTTTCACCACCACTACTGAAGGTGCCATGGTGTTTCAAGGCCTAAGACAGTCCAATTCACCTGTAGTCATGTTTAGCACTTATATAATTTGAATGGGAGGTAAATCAAAGTTCAAACTCAGCCCATGTCCGTGGCTTAATGTACAGTGTAAACACTGCTGTCATCCATATAGGCCAAAGACCTATATTGGAACACGCTGGAGAGAAACAACAGAAGGAAGACAGAATGGTTTTGAAGTTTTAAAGATAAATTTAGATTCTGATTTTTAAAAAGTGAAAGATGGCAAATGAATAAGCTGTTGATTTTGTTTCAAAGCTCTGTTTTTTTTATTATAAGGTTTGCATTAAAATGTGAAAATTCTTCTAATTGTGTGGGTGAATGTTTCACCTGTTCTTTCTAAAAATAGAGGAAGAATGTTGATGGCAGGAGAAAATATTGAAAAACTGCTTTGTTTTAGCATGCAAAAGTAAAACCTGTGATTATATTATTCCTGAAGTAATAATTCCTGACAGATAATCCTTAATTTATTTGAAATCCATAAATAAACAGAATCATGTTACCCTGGATGTCAAAATCAGTATTGTCTTTTTTGACTTGCAACTATTCTGTTTGAAATTGATTTAAGGGGAATTTGCTTTAGCTTCATTCTCTTCATTCTCTCTCTCTCTCTGTCTTTTTTTTTTAAGGTCAACTCAAATCAAAACATACTCTTGGGATAATGCCCAGGTTATTTTGGTCGGTAACAAGTGTGACATGGAGGATGAACGGGTAATCTTCACTGAGAGAGGCAAACATTTAGCAGAGCAACTTGGTAAGAAATTACAAAAGCTTTATGATTACTTGTGAGAAATCACAAAGTAACATCACTAATTGCTACAGTACTTGTAATGAAATGTTTGTGACACATTCACTGTAAAGGAATAGTCATACACCACCTCCCTTTTGTTTCTGCAGGCTGAGGTCTGAAATGTCCCTGTTGATACCACTAATACTGTAACCTCATTAGAATGGACATGTGTCCAGGGATGACCTTATACAGAGCTGCGACATGTCTGCCATCTAAAAGTGTCCACAAGACCAGTGCTGGCTTAGAGGCCAGGTTAGAATAAAGGCGTATCTGACAAAACATTACTAATTCTGATCCTGATTATGGCCTTTGTGATAACCAGAAAGACTAGGCATGTGTCTGTATATATACAGTATGTTTAGATAGTTATAGATATAGGCAGATGCATCTGAGTGAGGGGAACCCTAAAAAAAAAAAACCTCCAACAAACTAACAAAAAAAAGAAAAGAGGAGAGAGTGTGAACTACACGTCTTTGCAAGATGAGAACATTTAGGTTATGATTACCAGTCATCCAAACCAGAATGACGCCAATATCCAGCTTCTACTGCTAATAGTTCAACTACTGCACATTCACACAGGTGTAAATAATGTGAACCTCTGTTTCATAAAGTCTCTACCTAGGAGGCAGACGTTGTCCACTCAGAAAACTATGGAGCTGTGACATCTCTGTTCTGTTTCTGCCCAGCAGTGGTATTCTTTCATACCACGAAAAGTTCTTGAGGTGACACTGGCCAAACTGCAATGGAAAATCTCCACAGCATCGTCTTAATACTAATACCAACCTTTTTTTTTTCCTTCAAACTTGCTGTCTCTGGAGAGCATTCTCAGCAGGTGTGCAAATCAAACCCTGTCTTCTGTGCTGTACTGGGCATACGTTTATTACTGTTTTTAAAACTGGCAGTGGTAAAGGCTCAGTCTGGTGAACATCAGTGTAACCACAATCTCCTTGTCATTATTCTTATATAGGAGCTTAGGGGAAAGGGTGTTGTAAGAGTAACTGCATGGGAAACTGAGAGAGATGGTGCCTTTTCATAGTATACTACCTCTGCTGGATCTGATCCCATGCTAGTGCTTCTTAGAATAGAATCACAGAATCATAGAATCATTAGGGTTGGAAAGGACCTTAAGATGATCTAGTTCCAACCCCTCTGCCATGGGCAGGGACACCTTACGGTAAATCATATCACCCAAGGCCTCGTCCAACCTGGTCTTGAACACTGCCAGGGATGGAGCATTCACAACCTCCCTGGGCAACCTATTCCAGTGCCTCACCACCCTCACAGGAAAGAATTTCCTTCTTATAACCAATCTAAACTTCCCCGTTTAAGTTTTAACCCGTTACCCCTTGGCCTGTCACTACAGTCTCTAAAGAGTCCTTCCCCAGCATTCCTATAGGCCCCCTTCAGATACTGGAAGGCTGCTAGGAGGTCTCCATGCAGCCTTCTCTTCTCCAGGCTGAACAGCCCCAACTTCCTCAGCCTGTCTTTGTACGGGAGGTGCTCCAGTCCCCTGATCGTCCTCGTGGCCCTTCTCTGGACTTGTTCCAACAGTTCCATGTCCTTTTTATGTTGAGGACACCAGAACTGCACACAATACTCCAAGTGAGGTCTCACAAGAGCAGAGTAGAGGGGCAGGACCACCTCCTTCGACCTGCTGGTCATGCTCCTTTTGTTGCAGCCCAGCACACAGTTGGCTTTCTGGGCTGCAAGCACACACTGCGAGCTCATGTTCATTTTCTCATTAAGCAACACCCCCAAGTCCTTCTCTGCAGGGCTGCTTTGAATCTCTTCTCTGCCCAACCTGTAGCTGTGCCTGGGATTGCTCCGACCCAGGTGTAGGACCCTGCACTTGGCATGGTTAAACTTCATGAGGTTGGCATCAGCCCACCTCACAAGCGCGTTAAGGTCCCTCTGGATGGCATTCCTTCCCTCCAGCATATCAACCGAACCATACAGCTTGGTGTCATCGGCAAACTTGCTGAGGGCGCACTCAATCCCACTGTCTATGTCAGCGACAAAGATGTTGAACAAGACCGGTCACAACACCGATCCCTGAGGGACTCCACTCGTTACTGGTCTCCAGCCGGACATTGAGCCATTGACCACAACTCTTTGTGTGCGGCCATCCAGCCAGTACTGTATCCACCAAGTGTTCCATCCATCAAATTGATGTCGCTCCAATTTAGAGACAAGGATGTCGTGTGGGACAGTGTCAAACGCTGTACGCAAGTCCAGATAGATGACATCAACTGCTCTACCCTTGTTCATCAGTTCTGTAGCCCCATCATAGAAGGCCACCAAATTGGCCAGGCAGGATTTCCCCTTAGTGAAGCCATGCTGGCTGTCACCAATCACCTTGTTGATTTTCATGTGCCTTAGCATGCCTTCCAGGAGAATCTGCTCCAAGATTTTGCCAGGCACAGAGCTGAGACTGACTGGTCTGTGGTTCCCTGGGTCATCTATGTTCCCCTTCTTGAAAATGGGGGTTATATTTCCCTTTTTCCAGTCATCAGGAAATTCACCTGACTGCCATGATTTCTCAAATATGATGGCCAGCAGCTTCGCAACTTCATTCGCCAGCTCCTTCAGGACCCGCAGATGGATCCCATCAGGTCCCATGGACTTGTGCATGTCCAGATTTTTAAGATGGTCTTGAACCAGTTCCTCTCCTACAGTGGGCACAAGGTCTTCATTCTCACAGGCCCTGCATCTGCCTTCCAAGACTTGGGTGGTGCAGTCAGAGCCTTTGCCAGTGAAGACCGAGGCAAAGAAGTCATTAAGAACCTCAGCCTTCTTCAAATCCTGTGTAGCCAGTTCTCCTGCTAGCATCCGGAAGGGGCCTACATTCTCCCTAGTCTGTTTTTTATTTGATATGTACCTGTAGAATCCCTTCCTGTTATCTTTAATACCTCTAGCCAAGTTTAATTCTAACTGGGCCTTAGCTTTCCTAACCTGGTCCCTAGCTTCCTGAACAACATCCCTGTATTCTTCCCAGGCCACCTGTCCTTGCTTACACCTTTTATAAGCCTCTTTTTTCAATTGAATTTTCCTCAGGAGCTCCTTATCCATCCAAGGAGGTCTCCTGGCCCTCTTGCTGCACTTCCTTCTGGTTGTGATGCAACACTCCTGGGCTTGTAGCAGGTGATCCTTGAATATCAACCAACAGTCTTGGGCCCCTCTGCCCTCTAGGGCTATATCCCATGGAACCTTCCGAAGCAGGTTCCTGAAGAGGCCAAAGTCTGCTCTCCTGAAGTCCAGGGCAGTGAGCTTGCTGCACGCTCTTCTCACTGTCCTGAGGATCTCAAATTTGACCATCTCATGATCGCTGCACCCAAGGCTGCCCTGGAGAGTCACATTTCCAACGAGCCCTTCCCTGTTGGTGAGCACGAGGTCAAGCATGGCACCTCTCCTTGTTGGCTGCTATATTATTTCCAGAAGAAAGGTGTCTTCTACACAATCAAGGAACCTCCTGGATTGCTTGTGCCGGGCCGTACCGTCCTTCCAACAGATGTCAGGGTGGTTGAAGTCACCCATGAGAACAAGGGCCTGCGAGCGTGAGGCTTTTCCCATCTGTCTATAGAGTGCTTCATCCGCAGGTTCTCCTTGATCAGGCGGTCTGTAACAGATCCCCACAGTAATGTCTCCCATAGCTATATTCCCTTTAACCCTGACCCACAAACTCTCTGTGGACTGCTCACCTGTCCCCAGACAGAGTTCCATACTCTCCAGCCTATCCCTAACATAATGGGCAACTCCCCCTCCCCGCCTGCCCGGCCTGTCTTTTCTAAAGAGCTGTAACCTTCCATTCCAACACTCCAGTCATAGGAGCCATCCCACCATGTTTCTGCGATGTCTGTTATATCATACCCCCCCTAGACATGCACACATCTCTAATTCCTCTTGTTTGTTCCCCATGCGGGCATTTGTATAGAGGCATCTGAGCCAACTGAAGCCGGCACATTGGCTGGAGCAGCTGGTGTATCTCTACATTGCTCCGAGCATTTATTATAGGTTCTAGCAACTGGCTGGGTGTGTTGAGATGGAATGATGCCCCCCTCCCCCAGCACATCTAGTTTAAAGCCTCCTTGACCAGCCTGGCAAGCCTCCTGCCAAAACTGCTCTTTCCCTTCTGTATCAGACCAGCTCCACCAGCCCCCACTAGACCTGGCCTACAAACTTGGGTCCCGTGTTCAAGACACCCAAACCCCTGAGTATGACACCACCCTTTTAACCATTTATTAACCTGGCCAATCCTCCTAGCTTTTTTTAGGTCCTCCCCTGTATCCTGGATAATTGATGAAAAGATCACCTGAGCTCCAGAGCCCCTAACCACCTCCCCCAGGGCTCTGTAGTCCTTCTTCATGTTCCCCAGGCTACTACTATCTATATCCCTAGCACCCACATGTATCACCAGGAGTAGGTAATAGTCCATGGGACTTTCTAGAGCAGGCAGCCTCTCTGCCACATCCCTGATCTGTGCCCCCGGTAGGCAACACACCTCCCTTGAGACAGGGTCTGGCCGGCAGACAAGTGCTTCTGTCCCTTTCAGTGTAGAGTCCCCTACTACTACGACCCGCCGCTTTTTCCTGGCAGCACCAGTAGAGATCTTTACCAGTGCATCAGCCTGTTTCTGGCTCGAGTGCATTTCCTCATTAGCCCCCTGCAGGACAGCAAAGCGGTTTTGTGTGGGGACAGGGGATTTAGGGGGAAGCCCCTTGCTTTTGGTGTCCTTTTCCTTCTTTTTTTTTTTTTTTGTCACTAATTCCCAGCTTCCCAAGTTAACGGCCTCCTTCTTTCCTTCATGAGGTAGAGGTGAAGCTCGAGGCCCCTGCACAGTTTGGGCCAGGAGCAAGCATTCCTGCTTCCTCTCAGCTTCCCTGACATCTCGCAGCCTACTGACAGCATCCCGCAGCTCAGCCCCTGCTGCAGGAGCACCTCCACCAGGGAGTACCGAGTGCAGCCCT